AATATGTTAATTTTATAATTTTTTTGCCTGTTTTATTTGAAACCATCATTGCTAACATCATGGAATCCAGTAAGTGTACTTAAGATGGAAACTCCTACCCCAACAGCTGAAGAAAAGAAAACACCCAAATCAAAACCAGTTTGGGGTATGCTAAACCAAACCAGAATTCTTAATGAAGTCCACAGGCACTTCCTTTTTGGCCAATACATCTTTTTGCCAGTGGTGAGCTTTATTTTAATACGTCATGTACTTCCCTGATGTTTTGGCTAAAACCAAAAACTGTTGCAGTTTAACCACATCATTTTGACTTTTGTCACAATGCAAGCACAGACTCACAGGTATTACATTACCTTCTGTCCTTCTCACCACACTGGTAATGCAGAGGGAAGAAGCAAGTTTCTTTCTACTGTGTACTTTGCTGCTGGCCCCATCTGCTCTTAGAAGCTGTGATCAAATGTTCCAGCTACTTTACTAAGAGCTTGCTTAAACATTGCTCTTGGACATCTTATCTCAGCTGGTTTCCTTACAACTGTTTCACAAGGGAGTCTGTACACTGTGATACGAAGTGTTTATCTAAAATAAGTCCAACATTTCCTCTTGACTGTGACAGAGGTAAGCTGCTAGCTGACGATTTTCTACGGGGAAAAGGTGTTCCCCTGGGATTTCAAGGATATGGGAGACATACCTTATACTACTGAAGTTCCATGGATATGAAATAATACATAGCATTATGTAATGAAAGGATCAAATTAACAGAACATATACTGAGACGCTTATAACCAAAATACATAGTTAAATAATCTCTTACCCTATTTATAAGATCTCTAACAGGAGCCAATCCTTAGATTCCATCCTTCAACACTCTGTAGGTATTCTATGCCACACTGAAATCTTACAGCCATTATAGATAGTGTGCTTTTAAAACTCTTGGTTCCAATATATCACTAAACATACTTTTTCCAAAATCAAAGACCCAGATTATTCACTAGAACAAGAAATAAATTACTCTATATTAAGATACAGGAGTCAAGTTTAAGCTTTAAATTATTTCTATAGCTTGGCCTAGTAAATATAAAATGTTTAAAAATTGTTATTCCTTACACCTTAAGACTGCTTTTCAAAAAAAGCTGCTCACCATTCTGAGCATTTTCCTTCTGAAAATTTTCAGTGACCTCAGTACAAAAACATCTCAAAAACAGGGTCAATCATTGAAGCAACTTTTGACAGCACCAACTTATGTAGTCCATGTAGCTAGCACAAAGGAAGCTTAACTACTGCCAATAATGTTGAATAACTTTCAAAAAATATTGGACCTAGGTCTATTGCACCAATGGTATTTAAGGAAGTCATGTGTGTAATTTGCGCTTCTGGACTTTCTCTGTGATAAGAAGCACGGAAGCAGAAGTTCTTTCAAAAATTACACATTTTTAATGTTAATTGCTTACAGAAAACAAACTAAAAAAATATTTAAATTTTGTCCAAAACCTGACATTTGAACCTATGGTGGAAATTAGAGATTTTAAATAATACCTGTACTTAACAAATGCTAAGTTTTGAGAAACACTAAGAAGGTCCATCAAATTCTTAACTGGTAATATACTACCATCTCCATTTTAAAGAGATGGGGAGTGTGGGTGGGGAGAAGAGGACAGATACCCTGATATCTTCCTGGAACAATCTCTGCCACCCTTGGAGTTCCTTTGTTTTGAGCTGCACAAACTCTGTAAATGGGTGTTTCCAGCTTCTGGCAGCCATATGTGCTGCCTAGCATCTGTTTTCATTCCACTGTGCTATGGAGACAAAATACTTTTATTTTTAGTGTTCTACATTTCCTGATGTTGCACATAATAGGGATTATATGCCACGTCTCAGCCACTATATATGAAAAATCTTCCATGGATAACTGATGAGTAAAGGCCACGGATTACCACACAGGGTCAATGAGATAATTTTCATTACCTACTTCTCAGTCCAAGTATATAGTTTAAACTTAAGTTTGCTTGATTCCTGTATATTTCTGCTTTTTCTTTTCACTGACTACAAGGGGCTTCCTTCATATGCTTTAAAGATAAACTTTTCCAGCAAATTCCTCAGATATAGCAAACTGCTATAATGATCTTGTGGGTTGCCACTAGTGGTTGCTGTTCTGCATGCTGCACCCAGAGTCAAAAACAGGATATAAGGAAATGAACAGCTTTACGCAGGGACACAACAGTGCAATAAAACAAGTATTTGTTTGAAAGGAGGCATTCTGTGCATAGGCTTTCACAGAGTTCTGGTGGAAACCATGCACTCCAAAACTAGTTTGCAATTATTAACTGGCAAGCACAGCATTTATATAAACTTAGATTGAAAAGATTTCACTGTTACATCTCAGTGCAGCTTTGGAAGGCACCCATGGCACACTGGACAGCTAGTAATTCTTTAAAATGCACCAAACTAAACGAGATTCTAGAAAACTTTGCTGATTTTACCTACACTGACATTAAGCCATGCATTTCTAGGCAAGTGTTCTTTCTTCCCCCATTTAAGGTCCCCCTCCTCAAACTTTTAAGCAGCTGAGTGAGTACAGACTAAGCTACATATGCCTGATCAACATCTTTAACTCCATCAGTATCATATAATTGCCAGCACAGCTTAATTCCTTTACTTTTGAAGCACATTGTAGCACCAATCTTTCCACCATACAATATTACAAATGAAGGGTACTGTAAGTTATTATTAAACAGCTACTGATGAGGGATTACCTCTGGTTTCAAAACATAATTTAAAAATTATTATTTGAGTTGTGCTGAGAGATCAACAGAAAAAAATAGTGCCTTTTGAACAGGTTATGCATTAAGAGACTCAAAATATTCACTATTCATAATGTACTCCAAAAGACACTCAAAGGTGTGTCATTTAACTTCCAATTAGTTCTAATCAATTGGCACTTTTTACTTATTAATTCTTTCCTAAAATAAGCACTTTATTCATTGTATGTGATCTTACATATACAAAAGTACTCCTTGATTAATTAGATTGGTGAGGCATTTTTCAATCTTTTAAATTAATTCAAATATTTTATCAATGAACTTCAACTACTCTACTGCTGCAGTGGATGATTTTAAGTTATCTGCATCTATTACTCTTCCCTCAGAGATTCTGACCAAAATTGTGAGAAAATTACTTTTATCTTGCTTCTTTTAAATTTACTCTGCCTTCTGCTTTCAAATTATTGAAGTGCAGTTAAGCTGTTCTGCAGTTCCTCATAGTTGTCTATTTTAAATAACACAAAACAAGAAATAATTTCTGCCTTCAAGCAGTATATTTTTTTCAGCTATCAAAATCATGAAGCAGAAACATTTTTCTTGACTGGTGTAACTAATTCATTTTTTTGTTCCTACTTACTAGCATACAAATCAGTCTAAAACACTTTTTTGCTGAGTTCCCACTCAAAATCTCAGAACTAGCATTTAGCTGAAACTAAATACAGGAGGAGTTTTGAATGGAGACTCCCAAATTTTATCTGCCTTAATTAAGTATAGATGAACACCATTCCACACAGTACTCTGTCAGTATGTTGTTCTGTAAGGGAGTGAGACTCTTTCCAATCCCCCTCATAAACTGTCAATTTACATTCTGAAGCAAAATATATAACCCATCATACATCATTCTGTCACTGCTTTTTAAGGTGTCTGTGGCGTAATTTTGATGCCTACACTCACTGTGCATTTGTAGTTTCCTAATAAAATCTGAATAGTCTTATATTGGCTTAGATTTGTTGAAAAGTCAAACATTCATTTCAACATAAATTCTTTTTGACAATAATTTCAAATCGATACAGGGGTTAGAACATCAGAAAAAAAAGGAACAAAAAGCTTTAAAAACGGAGTTAATAACATCACCCCTAATTTTCACTTATTTAAAAAAATTATAATTAAATTTCTCATTATAGTCCTGCAATAGAAAATGTATTGTACAATCCAGCCATAGCCCTCATCAAATTCTCTGATGAAGGCTACCTAATCTGAACATACACTTTATCCAGAGCACTGCTACATCCAACAACTCCTGGGTGGCAGTTTTAATTATAATAAATGCAAAGAAATTTAAACACTATATTAAGGAACAGAAAAGCTGTATATACTTTTACATCAAATCTGGGAAAGGCACTCAAAGCAACTCAAGCTTAAAAAGTAATTTTAACCTACACCCTTAATAAATCTCTTTAAAAGTGAGAAAATTTGAATGCATATTATTTAAAAGCATTTATAATTAATAACCTGCTTTTTAATAGGAAAAAATATCTGATATTCTTACTCAGTTTTGAGTCTCAATTTTGTATCACAGGCTATGACATTTTTAGGTACATAACGAACATGTCTTTCAAAATGAGTTTATTTTCCTAGCACACCATTATATTTCCAAACATTTATAGGTGCTAAATGCAAGTTTAAGACTTAGACATAGAACAAGATCATTTTAAAATTGCTTCAACATTTGTCTTGATTTCAGCTTTTCTGGTTATTACATAAAATCGTATTTTTCTCTTAAAACATCTAAGTCTTTGATTATTCTTTAAAATATCTTAAAATCATCATAAGCATCTGTTGTAATAGGAAAATGAAATTCAAACTGTTTTTTCAAGGATTATAAAAAATTACAACCCAGCATGCAAACCCCCAAAAGTCCAAATTAAAATCAATTACAATTGCTCTGTGCTCTTGTGATCATGTTTTTCCTCCTAATAACTGTTTCCTTTTCATCATGAAGTTTAAGAAAATAATACTTAATGTTTCAATCCCTTAACTTTGGTATTTGTTTTTAAAGTGAAGAGGTTTTCATTTTGAGGTTTACCTATTCAATACACATGCAGTTTGAAGTTGGTTAAATGGAATCAGTGAAACAGGAAATTAGCTCCCAGCAGGATGAACAGGAACTGCCAACCAAATCTCCATGTTGTACCCATGGTATAACATCTTGAAGGAATCCAAAGAACATCTCTCCAGTACAGGTTCTCAGAGGTCACTGAGTTTTATAATTATCTCCAAGCAATTTTCTCCACATCCTGTTAAGCTGTCTCTAAACAGCTGTGTGTGTTGCCACGCCACTTCGCCATCCCCTCCATTAAGAATTGCTTCCAACATAACTTCTGTTGCGCCAGAAAAATTGGAATAGGAGCAAAGGTTCTTATCTATTGGAGGAAAAGATAAACAATTCAGTAAGCCACTGCTCCAGACAGCATATAATGCTAGAATGATTGTTAAAAAGGGTAACTTGTAACCCTTGTAAGCCAGCTGCAAATTTTGAGTTCCTTGTTTAGTGCTGCTCAGAGGATCTAGTCAAGACTGAAGCCACTGCACACAGAAGAATCTGTCCTTCCTAGTAAAAAACAGAACTATCTTGTATCCACTCTGATCTTGCTAATCCTGCTCTGTTGCAGGCAGGGCTGCATATATTAATAAAACTGGGTCTTGTAGCAGTTTTGATTACATGCACAGTATTTTTTTGACCTTGCTAAGAACAACTGAGTTGGAAAAGTCAAAATGCATTTGCATTTCATTTTGTTCAAGAACTTTGCTGCATGAGATAATTAATTATTTACATTCCACACTTACCTCCTATCAGATCAATTTCTGCTGTTGGAGAGCAAAGTCTCCACTTTATTCTTCCGCTGTGAAATGTCTGACTGCTTGTCCTAACTGAAATGTTATCTATTTTTAGACCAACTGACTTGCACTCAAACTTCCAGCTGATGGAAGCAGAGGGTGATCCCTCTTTTCGGGCTAAATAAACCTGAATGGAAAGAAGACATAGTCAGCATGTCAAAAACATCAACACACATATAATTAACTGTTTTAACAGGGACATAAAACCTTAAGGTAACACCACTGCATTCTTTATGAAGCCTCTGAACCTTTAAAATTGTACATAGTACAATTCTGTACATAATCTCATTCTGAATATTTATGTCTATTCCAGTTAGGTAACTGTACATGTTCATAGTCGTTCACTAGAGAACACTAATGTATTTCAACATACTTGGTAAAGTCTAAGCCACAAAAATACAAAAGTTTATCACTTAAAGAATAGCAAACTTCATTTTTATATATAAATGCACAGGCCTACTCATAGTTTCATTTTCATTATTCAATATTGCTGATGGAGAAAACTGTGTAATCAGTATTTTGGATTCTTCACATCTGGCTGCTGGCTGCACACCACTTCTCCTAGGATTTTACATGTCTTGGTTAAAACAAATCATACATGCTAGCCATATATAAATCCTGTATTAACATTATTTGAGCTGTTAAGAGATTTGCATAATTTCATGTAGTCCCAATGCTGTTCTAAATGTCACCTGACTGAACAGTCAAACTCATATGTTAACATCCATTCAAGTTACTATGAACCCTTGTAAGAATTCTGGAATAAGTGTCCAGTGATCCTTTCAAGTATAGCATCTATTATCAGCAATCCAAGATAATGTGCAGCACAGATTAAAGAGTCAAAACTGACATGATTATTTCAGAATCCTTCAGTAAGAAAAGTCATCAAAATTCTGTCATGTCCAGGCTTCTCATTATCATAGAATCATAGAATTATTCAGGTTGGAAAAGACTCTTGGGATCACTGAGTCCAACCATCATCCCTACTCTACAAAGTTCTCCCCTAAACCATATCCACCAACACCACATCCAAATGACCCTTAAACACATTCAGGGATGGTGACTCAACTACCTCCCTGGGCAGCCTATTCCAGTGTCTGACCACACTTTCTGTGAACATTTTTTCCTAATGTCCAGTCTAAACCTACCCTGTTGCAGCTTGAAGCCATTGCCTCTTGTTCTGTCACTGATTACCTCTGAAAAGAGACCAGCATCAAACTCTCTACAATGATCTTTCAGGCAGTTGTAGAGACTAGTGAGGTCTTCCCTCAGTCTCCTCTTTCTCAAACTAAACATTCCCAGCTCTTTCAACTGTTCTTCATAAGATTTATTCTCTAGGCCCTTCACCAGCTTCGCTGCCCTCCTCTGTACTCACTCCAGCACCTCGATCTCGCTCTTGAATTGAGGTGCCCAAAACTGGATGCAATACTCCAGGTGTGGCCTCACCAGTGCTGAGTACAGGGGTACAATCACCTCTCTGATGACATTTAGGATGACAACTCCTTTCCTTGGCTATGTATCAAAGAGATACATACTAAAAAGTTATTCTCAAAAAAACCAAACAAGAACAAACCTTTTTTGACAGAAGTACTGCAGTACTTCTGTATTGTGTGTTTGTTCAAAAGGAAAAGTAAGCAAGTAATTTTTTAAAGATTTAGTGCTTTAGCAAGGATTTTATCTATCTGCAGAAAATTTGGTCATCCTTCTTGAAATATAAGCTGAATTTATTTTCAATGTTTTAAACTATCTGGCAATCTTACCTAAAGCTTAACAGTAATATTTATTAACATCAGCTTAATTCTATGGGTACCCAGAAAGGTTTTGATGCCAAACACTGATAAGCGTCTTCATACTTTAATAGTAGATTTTATGCTTTTATTAATTGTTACTCTTACCATTTTCCAATCTGTTTCAACCTTTCTCCAAATAGACTCCGCCTTCCAAACACCTGCTTCCCAGCCAGTGATTTTTTCATTATTATTGGAAACCCGTGTGTAACTGTCTTCTACTACATTGTAGATGAGGTGGAAGAGTTTAGATGTCTTCTCTTTTCCAGAGGGAATAAAAATAACTTCTTTTCTTTTCTGAAAAAAGCAAGAAAAAAGAGCACCTTCATTCCTCAATAGGTATGTTATGTTACTTTCAAATATCATGCCATGGTTTCCCAATTCAGTTTTGCTTCCAACTGAGAAAAAAGTCATTTTTTAAGACAGTTCATAGACAAAAGCATTTCTACAAAAGAAAGAGTTTAAACTAGCCCTAAAATAGACCTGCACCTTTTTCAGAGGGGAGCAGCAATTTTATTTTAAAGTTTTTTTATATAATTCCTTTTAGAAGTAAATTATCAACAAAATACTTAAATGTGCTCATTTTATGCTAAGAGATTAAAATGTCAGGAATTTGGTTATTTTGAATAGCAAATGTAACTCTATGATTACCATATACAGGCGATTGTATATGACAGTTTACAAACCAACTTCAAAAAACTTAAGATGCAAACTTTGTAACTTCACAATATTTTTTAAAAACATGGCTATGGTTCTGAGAAACTGTATTTTAGCATAAAATACTTAAAAATCAAATCTTGAATTTGGAAATAGTAAAAAACACTGATATGAAAATCAATCAAACTTATTATTTCAGAGATTGTGCCATTTCCACAACCCTAATTGCTCCCACTTTGTTTTATTAACAAAAACAGCTGGTCAAAACCTACTTCCAGGCTTTAACCAATAGTAACTAATAATACAAATAAACATTTTTAGAAGTTTCACCAACTGCTTTCAATTGCCCAAAACTTTCTAGTTCTGTCACACTGTAACTATTTAAAAGGAAAAAAAGGGGCTTTATTAACTTGTAAGAACAAAACACGCTTTGATCAAGGACTGCCAGACATTTTCAGAATCAACGGGCCACCATCAATCCTCAAAAATCACATGTGGACCTCTACTGAATCAATGTAAAACTTGGACCCAATGTTTTTGCAAGTTTCACTGTTTTAACTAAACATGTAGGCTATTTATATGAAGTGCTTTTCTTCAGCAGATCATAACCATAGAATCTTTAGTTAGCTACCTCTAAGATGATCACCAGTGCAAAAATTAAATACCTCTGGACCAATTTCACCTCTGGCCACTCGCCAAGCCATTGAACCTGATGTCCTTCCACCATATTCTCCAGGTTTAGGTGTTTTAGGAGAAATAAATTCAACAAGCTCCACAATTGTTCTTTCCAAGAGCTCTCTCTTTCTATTTTCTGACAAAGATCGTTGCTTCTGAAAATACAGTTAAGGAACAAAGTTAAAAATTCAGAAAAATGGTATTTTAATTCTGCTCTAGAGCGACACCAAAGGGGAAAAAAAAGAACTGTAAAAACCAGACCAACATTTAAAGTCTAGATTGATTATTAGAAACATTAATCTTATGAAACATGTGGAAACACTAACAGGTTACAACTGCACATTATTTGACTGCAATACTTTTTCTGTGAATGTTCATACACTACTTGGATTTATTTTAAAACAAGGTTTGTGCTATGCTTATAATACATTTGGTTGGATGATAAACCACTTCTATAGCATATTTTATAGCTGTTCCTGATATTACCTGGGGGAAAGAGAAAGCAAGCATAATTTTTGGGTCAAACTTTTATTTTCTAAGGTGGAGTGATTTGGTTAGCAACAGTCTTGGTTTTGTCCAAACAAAAGATTCAGTTGGTCTCTCAAAGAGTTATTTCACAGTGACTAATTCTATAATAAAAATGTGAATATATTAATATTTTTGCAGATAGAAAAACTCATCATCTACAGTTCCAGGTAAATTAATGGAAAAGATAAAGAATCACGTAACATGCTTTGTTTGCCCACATGAATAAAACTAGCCTTTTTTTTTGGTACTTAACTTTAAAAAAATTACATTGAAAGGCTGGGGTTTTGTCTCCATGATTTTCACATTAAATAAACAGAGCTGTATATTTTTTCTTCTACCTTGGTGATCATCCAAGGCATGCACACTCAGCCCACTAGGACCTGAAACTTCAGGCCAACCACAGAATGATTCCGGTTGGAAAAGACCTTTAGATCAAGTCCAATCATAACCTAACTCTACCAACCATTAACCTAACTCTACTGAATAAATATTCAAATTATCTCAAAAGTAGTCCTGACACCAGGAAGTTTTGCTACTAGGGATCAGAAATGAGGCATTTGAAGGGCTTTTTTTCCAGACAACAACATGGAACTGGATAAATGAAAGCAGATGCAGAGAAATTATGAGAAACAGCTCCAGATGAACAGATTCCAGCCGCCAAACGCCAGTTCTAACACAGCAAGGGGAAATACACCTCTGTTTGTGTTGATGGATGACAAGCGGTGACTCCAGCAGTTCCTCATTAAACACCACGCCTTCCTGAATCTAACACTTGTCTGGGCACAGTGTTAGATTATCCATATGCAGTACTGCAGAATTCCCTCCAGCTCCGAGGAAGTCTGATGTGCCTTACCCTAGATGAACAATACCCATTTACCATTTCCTTTGAGCCACTTCGATGTAGGGAACCCCAGTATCAGGGGTCATCACCACTGAAATTAGCGATGCCACACTGAGAATTTGTTGCCCTTGCTCTGCAGCCGTTGTAACAGTATCTGAAACAAACCTGTCCAAGAAGAATGCTTCAGTACAAAAAGGGGTATTTCAGAAGGGTCCTGGTTTCAGCTGGGATAGAGCCAACTTCTTAGTAGCTAGAATAGTGCCATGTTTTGGATTTAGTCTGGTATTTGGTATGAGAAGAACATTGATATTGGTATTTCTAGCTGTTGCCAAGAAATCAAGGACCCCATGCTTTCCTAGCGTGTGGGTTCACAAGAAGCTGGAAGGGAGCACAGCTAAAACAGATCCAAATTGGCCAATGGAATATTCCATACTATGCAACATGATGCTCAGTATATAAATCTAGGGGAAGAAGGAGGAAGAGGGGAGATGTTCAGAGTGATGGTGTTGGTCTTTGTAAGTAACCATTATGTGTGATGAAGCCCTGCTGTTCTGGAGATAGCTGAACACCTGCCTGCCAATGGGAAGTAGTGAATCAATTCCTTGTTTTGCTTTGCTTATGTGCACATTTTTGGTTTCTCTATTAAACTGTCTTTATCTCGATCTACAAGTTTTCTTCACATTTACTCTTCTGACTCTCTCCTCTATCCCACCAGAGTAGAGTGAGCAAGGGGCTGTGTGGGGCTTAGCTGCTATCTGAGGTTAAACCACAGCAAGACTGGCCTCTTCTATGATACAAGAAATTATTAAGTTCCTCAACTGTAAAGAGTAAAGTAATGCTAATTCTTGTCATCTTCTCACCCTCCCTAGTAGGCTCTTGCATATAAATGCTAGCAGCACATATGCATAATACTCAGGCTCTGCAGAGATCAACACTGCAAGTGCTGGGAAAACCTGTAACTACATCTCCAACAAATGACATTGTCGTCAATAACATTCATGTACTGAAAAGGATTCCATTATCAAGTGTCACAGCTCAAACTTCCTGCTTTTGTTTCGTCTTAAGGTAATATCTCTACATACAAGCTCAGGCCCCACCTTTCTTTGGCAGACAGTGGGAACAGGAAGGAAGAGGCGTTGTGAACTGCAGCTTTAAAACCAGATCTGCAACATTTGTGAGTTATGCTGTTGATGCTTTCTGAAGGACTGTGTTTTGGGAGATGAATAATCTACAATTAAGTGGACCCACTGCTGGGTAAGCAACAGAAAATTTGAGGGTAGGAACTGGATTTCAAACCTTTAAACAGGGAATACTAATTCATCTCATCAATCACCATGAGATGGTCACAATTCAACCTACATCATTAGTTTTCCTTTTAAGAGCTGATCTGGCTGTAGCTATAATAATTCACAATCGTCACCAAAATATGGGGCCTGGAGCAAGTAAAAACTAATTTGTTTCCCTGCCTGCTAACCAATTTCCAATTAAGGTAGTGACAATTCAGGGTTCTCTTCCTACTTTTATAGGGGTAACATACAATGGACTGAATAGGGCAGTGCCCATACAAAGCAGGTGAAGGAAAACTTTGTAGTCAGGCTATAAACAATATGGTGCTACAGATTAACATCAGATGGTTGGTAACCTGCAGGCTGTTCGCTTGCTTAGGAATGCCTGACCCAACTAAAATACACACAGCAGTTCTGACAAGTAAAATAGCATAATTAATAGATTAAAATATCCTTGTCTCTTCCACTTAACAGTGGCAGTCACTCAACATCTTTTAAACTGCTGTGTTGTCTCCACTTGGCCACTAAACAGACAGACATGCAGAGAAATAATGATCAGAACCACTGCTCTTTATGCAGGAAAGCACAATAATGATCTTAGATTTCATTTTCACTAACATGACAGCACATGTGACAACATACTGCACACTGTGTTTCTTTTTTGTTGTAACTTGGAAGAACTGAGCTTGAAAGATGCAGTGTTTGAGCTGTGCATCAAAAGATACCAAAACTATAATCCCTCTTAGTGGGAGTCTCTTGGAGATTATGGGAAAGGGGAAAGTTAGTGGGGGACTCCGCCTACATCAGTTATCTGCTGAATAGGTTGCAGTGAAGGAAACAGTGCAGTAGCTGAAATGGAAGACTTGTGACCAAGTAGCGTAATGGAAATCTGCTATAAAATGTCTTGACAGTTCTAGGGGTGAGCTGCCTTACCCCTCTACTGACCACAGAAGCTGCTGAATATGACATGGAGACCCTCAGGCAGCAAATTTGTAATGGTCCTTTTATTCCCACTGCATTGGATGAAGACATACGTGAGAAAGAAAACTGTGTTTTTAGCAATCTAGTGACAAACTGCCTCTAAAATTCCTGAAATCCAGTATCAACTATAATAGGCAGAAGAAAAGGAGTAAGAGCAGTTGCTCAGGCTGATTAAATTTATTACCAGTTTAATACATTAAATCAATTAAACATATTCTGAACAGCTAGTAGGGAAAAAGGAAGTGTGTGTGGGAGGAGTGAGAGTATCATTTAGCTTGCAGAAAAGGACAGCAAATTGCTCCTCAGAATAAGACACCATCAAAAAGAGTGTCAAAGGTCTTCTCATAGAATCACAAGACAGTATTTATACTGAAAAGCAGTAGTGAAAGTGTGCAGCCTAGAGAAGAAAGGGCTGGAATTTTCCACGTGTAGAGAAAGGGAGTCAGGCAAAATACAAGAGTGTCTTTAAAGCGCATGTAACATTTCTTCCCTTTACTAATTTTTTAATTAAATTTTCATTTGAAACATGACAAACACCTTTTCTTGCTGTTTGAAAAGTGTTCATGTCAGCTCATGAGCTGCACAGTCCTATAAAGTAGCTGGGAAAAAAAACCCAAGCAACAAACAGGCCACTATACTAAGGTGCAGCACCATCTTTTGAAGACGACAACACACTTTTTTACTGGAGTTTTTTTACCTGTAAGTGAAACAGAGCATGGTCCTATGGTTACACCACCGAACTGAGAAGGAGCTCAGGCAAATCAACCCATGAGTCAGTTGCCTATACCTTTCTAATTCCATCAATCTTGTCAAAGTAATTTTTCAACCTACCAGTGCCTCATTTCCAACGTTCTCTCTCTCCTACATAAAATTGGTGGAGAAATCAGTCTGGTGACTAGTTTCTATTGCCAGGAGATGAGAAGAAAGGCCCCTCATACCAGTTTTGTAGCCAGCAAGGGTTCTATGTTTGAAGATACCACTAAACTCCTGCAATCCTGCATAAAGCACATGTATTCCTAAACCTAAATATCTGTTCCTTTACCTCCTTTCATTTCTCAGTTCTCCACTTTGCTATGTGACTCAAATTTTTCACTACTGATAAAACATTTGAGTCCAGGGTTTGAAATAATGAATCCACACTTAGTGTGTGGCTATAACCCAGAAGCCAGCAGGCCTCCATGAGACATAACCTGTTAATGAAGCGATCAGCTACTATCACAGGAACTGAAGTTTCTATGCAAAGGAATTAGTCCTGGAAGGAAGTGGGGTCAAAACAGAACTTCAAAGGTAGGTACAAAGTTTTCTGGCATTCTAGTATATCAAGTAAAAAAAAGTTCTTCCTGTCCCAGGCAAGGAGTGGAAAAAGGTTAGCAGAAAGGTGCTGAGTGCACTTGGGTTCTGTGACCATGATATGCAGGTGCAAATGACTCCCGTGTATTTTGGGGATGCTAGGCATGCACAACCTATGTCTGTCTCAGCCAAAGCCCCACTGATGGTACCAGTGCTTCTTGAAAGCCTTGGAAACAGCCTGTGAATCACTTCTCTCTTTACTAGAGCCTGTAAAGTCATGGAAAAAAAAATTGGCCTAAAATTGCTAGAACTATGCATACTATTGTTTTCAAGTTGATGTGGAAGAAGCTCAACCTCCCTCAAGGAGTCCACATCTTATTTCACACGCCTGATTCTTCTGTATTCAGTGTAAAATGAGATCTGTAGTTAGCAGCACTTTAAATTCCATAGTGCATGGACATTCCTGTAAGGTTACTGAATGCAGTCCTTTGTTCAAGGACTTTGCACTCTGGAAAGACACTTACGTTTCACTTAAAGAAATCCATCTAAGAAAAGCTACATACCTTTCTATTTAGTGTGTTAATTGTTTCACGTAGTGTCGCTTCACTGAGTGCTGTCCTTCTGGAGAGCACTTCTTCATGCTTACAGCTGTATCTCCAGGTGACATCAACAACCTTGACATCAAACATCATAAGTTAAAGAAAATAACGCCACCCAACATTGCCATGTATCTTGCTTCATTTAAAGAGTTTAGCTAATCAAAGCGGTTTTTTCTGTAACAATTCTGGAAATTGCACTAAGATGGAATACATCATACACACAAAAAGCTTGTTTTTTATTAACAACATTACTCCTACCTCATCTTTGGAGACTGCAAATATGTAGGAGAGCTTCTTTCCCCACCCAGTTTCATAGAGAAGAGGTTTATCACAGACATTTTCACAGGGATCACAGTGAAGCCATCTTTTCTGAGATGACGAATATACTTCAGTCCACACATGATCTATATAAGAAAGGCCAAGAATAAACAATGAATTATAAGGATAGAGCCTCTATTCTAATACTGCAGAATATTGTAACTTTTCCTGACTTATTAAACAAAGGAACAAGTGAAAGAACATGACTGTTCATTTACATTCAGAAAAGTTACCAGAGTTGTCTCTTTCTGTCTTCGAATCATAATCCCTTAGATAGAAATAAAGATTGTATCGTTCTGAAGTCAATCATCAAACCTTACTTGCAAAAACACATTTCATCTCACCAGGCAGGACAGGAAATTGAATTTATATTGTCTTTGTTAGCTGAACTGCATAACTTTATATGTTGCCTGATGGCTAATATAATCTGAGAACCATAAAATATATAACCTCACTTTTCATAGGTTTGACTTAACATCAGGATACTCTAGAATACTGATACCTGTAAAGTCCCAGACATATCTAGCTTCAAAACCTACAGCTCTGCAACACAGGGTAAAACAGTTAGCCCACTCGCCACAGCGTCCACGTCTGGTTTCCAGAAGCTTTTCGGGATTATTATACCTACAAGAGAAAAATAAAATAAAACCAGAATAATTGAAAATACATTTCACCGTTCAAGATCTTTACATCTTGACTGTCTTTGTGATGATTTAAACAGATTTCAGTGACATTCAGTCCACAGAAGATAGAGAAAATGCTTGCCGTACTGCACAAAGCAAGTGTGAGCAGAATGCCTTGACTCACATGACTGTCACATGTCTATAGCATGTTTTTTTCAGTTTTCAAGATTGACTTTGACTTCACCTGAAAATACGGACTTTCTAGGAGGGTCCTTCTAATAGTTAGCAAAAATATTTTAAAAATTGATATTTGCTCTTTTGCTACAGACTCAGTAGAACAAGTGTGATTTCTCATCAAAGTGAAGGTTTTCCTTGAAATAACAAAAACATACCTACACACTATGCCAATTTTACCATATTTTATTTAGGAACTCTATCAAGTTAACAGTAAAAAACCACAAGAAAATCAGACAAGTATTAAGAATAAGGTTATGTAATAGAAAACAATATTACGTTTTTTAAAATCTCTAAACTTACAGAGCAATTGCTGGTTCATCAACTATCCCATTATGTTGCTTAAAAAGGCTTCTCTTATCTTTCAACCAACAAATTATCACTTGTTCACAAAACACAAATGCAAAGCTGTTTCTTGAAGGACCAGAAAAGATGACAAAGCAAATCATTGTATGCTCACCTTGGGAATCTATTACAGAACTGACACTGGTTGCAGTAATGATTTTCCACTCGACTGGCATTCCACCTTAGATCATCATTGGTAGGCGACAGATAGTCACTTTTAGGCTCTGTCTGCCCACCACACCTGCTGCAAGGAAGATTATTTACCCAGTGAAAAAAGTCATTCTTAAACCAGTCCAAGAGCTCCAACAACAAGAAATCCTCTTCATTCACATGTGCACCTGTAAAATTTTCAAAACGCACAGGTCAAATGGAATAATAGCTTAGCTGAACTATCCAGTATCTATATAAATAACCATTTCTGGGCCTTTATTACTATTTTAGAAGTCTCATTAGAGAAAAAGCTTAGTATGATACTTAAGCACACAAGAAAGAAATTCTGAATTCTCAAGACTGAATAATGTCAAACTGTATATCCAAAGAACAAAAACCTGCACTCCTAAACACTACAGAGCTTGAGTAAGAAAAAGGAATAGCTCAGAAAAACAAGTCAGATATGTAGCGAAGCCTGGTGAAGTTTCTCATGCTCCTCAAATTCTTCCAGGGCTTTGGAAGAGAGTGTCTTAATTCTTATTCTACTCGTAAGTATTATTTTCCTACTCTTAGCTATTAAACAAGAAATAACAATTGCTTTGATTTCATAATCCCAAAGAATCACTGGCAGAAGTTTAGACAACCAAGTGTAAGTTCAGCAGACCTTCTACAAACATAATTTAGTGTAGAACATGTACATATACCATGTGAACAGTTGAGTTTATTTAAAAATTCAGCAAAGCAACACCTTTGTCAGCTAATCCAACATAGACAGAGGATGTCTTATTTTTCTACTCCAGCCTGTTCCACCACACTGTATCACTAGATTCTTCTATCCTATTTTCCTGTGTTCAGAACAGGTGTTAGAATCTACTCACACAACATAATCCCACTGTACCTAATTAACAAATTTTCCAAAAGAGATCCATCCCTTCTGATTATCCTTAAGAGTCTTTAAATGTACATTCTGTTCCAACGCCCAGAGAGACAGCACTTCCATCTCAGATTCATAACATTCAAACAAGTAAACCTATTAGCTTGACCATTTAGGTGACACTGCAATAGCAGATACTAATATCTGGTTATTTACATACTACAGCCTGCTTGAAGTCACCGTGCAAACAGGTCTGACTGATAAATACAAAGATGTAAAAATAATTTAGAAATGCGCTGTTTAAACAGAGATGAAGGAAGCTGCATCAAATTTGTGCACTAGCTTGTTTTCAGGATGGTGAAGAAAGGCTAGTTAAGATGTGTGTTTTACTTATTCAAGCTCAATTCACATCCTCCTCTGAAGCTGAAGCAGTCTTTGGTACAAAAGACTCCGCAGAGACTCTAACTCTCTTAAACACACATTGCCAAGACCATGAAGTGCATAAGAAAAGATCCCCTGTTAATCAAAGCAAGAAAACTTGACTCTTAACTGTAGAAAATCCATTGTCAAGAAGTTCCCTAATGCCAAAAGATAGAATGACATACTAGCGTATGGCTCTGTGACACCTCACAAAGTCATGTACAAAAACAGGACTCCCATCAAGTTAGCAGAATTGCTTCATACAAGAGTCTTCTATCAAAGATTCTCAGTGAAAAAGGTGGTTTTTTATTAAATAGGGTATTGTAATAATACTTTTAAAAATATTTCATACAAGTAAAATTTCACTTATGTTGCTGAAACAAATCTGTCACTTGAAAATGGAAACATGTCATTTTCACTTGACAAAGATTTTGTACATTCAAAGTGAATTTGCATTTATGAAGAAAAAACACATTTTAGCCACTGATGTCACAAATATTTATGCCTATATTTCACTTCTATTTCCAACAGAATGGCATATGAACAACCCAATTCATTTAAGCATTAGCAAAAAATGAAATTATTTCTATCAGGTTGTGTCTTGCAAAGGTATCACTCAAAATCTCACCAATAATAACACTTTAGAGAGAAAAAAACATTATTCTGAATTTTTATTCTGAATTTGGAATTGTAGTATGCATGGGAAAACTGCACTCTGACAATTTCAAAACAAGAAGTCAAACAAGAAGCTCCTTCCTCTTGTTGTGGCTGTTTGTAGTATTGTTTACTACTTATTTGGAAAGAGCTCAAAATGTCTATGTGAAAGCAGTAAAGGATAGAAGAAACAAGAAATTAAGTAGTAACAAAAGTAAGGAGAGAGAATAGTAGAAAATCTGAAAATTAGAAACTTAATTCTAATTCAGAGACATTTGGAACCTGCAGACATATGACCAACTCCAGCCACCTAAAGCATAGTAGATGCATGTATTATTCAGATGTTTTGAAGAATTTTTTGTTTAATACACAATATAACTTAGTAGCATTACCTTTGTCCAGTCCTGTAGCTTGTGCTAGCTTTTTCTGAGCCTTTCCTTTCAATTGTTGAAGGGGAATTGAAGCTAGTGCCTTCTGCTGAATAGAAGGATTCTCATACATCAATACAAGATGCTCAAGTTTTGTCTGAAGTGTTTGTAAGATATCCGCAGCCTGCAAAAGGATCTTGTGTCACAAGATGATTTCTGAACACTCATCTCAAGCTCTCCTATTTTAGTTGAAGTCAGCCATAATTCTATAGTTACATTATGTATTTCTTCACAGGTGAAATGTTTATCAGTAAAGATAGCAATAAAAATTGCAGACACCACCAACCAAACTGTAAAGCCAGCCTTTTCATCTTTGAGTATTCTGAATGGTGTCCCAAGTGAAAAGTGTACCCATCCAGGGAGAAAAATGTTTTTAAAGACATCTCTGATGGCAAAGATTTTTACTTACTTCTCCCCTGCCCCATATCTTTTGGTCACCTTTCACCTGAAATCAACAAAAGAACCTGTAATTCATTCCACTTCCTGGACACTGCTGCCCCAGTTCACAGAACTCTATTATTGATAAATGTTGCTCTTCTATTTCTTATTCATGAATGCTGCTTCTCTATTTCTACTTCCTTCTCTCACAGATCAGCTTTGACAGATTTGAATAGATAGCACTTTGACTATATAACTGAACAGTGTATTTCACTGGAAAATTAATATAAGAACTATTTTTCTTCAGTCAGTTATCCAAGTGTCACTTAGTGGCAACTGCATTTTGCACCCAGTAAGGTACACCCATGCCTACTAGAATACATAGCCAGTTAACAACAGAAGAGTTAGTAGCTGAGCAAACTATTTACTCCCATATAAAGGGGGATAACACAGAATTTAAAACTTTGGGGCAAAGCCACTGTTAAATTACCTTTTCTCTACTGCTAGGACATGCTTCAGTCTTTAGTCTTGTTAACTACCACCTTTGTTTCATCAAAAATCCCACACTTTCCTGAGATCCTAGTGGAAAATGCAAAATAATACACAGAATTCTTCAGAAGGTAATTTCTTTCAGAGGTGAATTTAAATTAGGAGTGATTATTTTGATGCTGGACAGTACTATAGGACCAGTCCTTGCTTTTCATAGCTGTTGAAACAGAACAGAACTGGTTTTGCTCTTCCTGGAGTTCATCAGCTGTAGGTAACTGATTTAAACTCTCAACACCACCTGTGTTCAGAATGACTTTAATGCAAGCTGGAAGAACAGAAATAAGGGAAGTTAGGGAGTGCCAATGGTTTATAAATCTTCACGTTCTGTCAGCTCCCTGGAAGAGTGTCCAGAGATACTGCTCAGCACAGGAGAAAGTCTCCCAAAATATTTGACAATTCAGATTTTCCCACCTGCAAACACTATCAGTGTTACAGCAGCACTTAACTGGTTTCATGGAAGCCACTGTATACCAATAAAATCTTATGCAAACATCTAGAAGAGCATCACTGCAAATCTAACTTTGGATGCCTTTTTCCTTCTATAATCACTGTGTCATGAAGGAAGGGATCAGAATCCATCCACCAGAATAATGACTATCCAGAACTTTTCTTTTTGCAAGTCTCAAGAATGCCTTATGATAAAAAAACCAGACAAGACACAGATGAGGCAAAATAATGATGGGGCAGGTTCCTAGAACTGTGCCATTTAGGAATATTCCTGTGCTGTCTCAAGTAAGCCACTTCTCCCTGTCCTTATCAGGATTCCCCGGAACCACAGGTGAATGCATAGGGAAGAAAAAAAAATGCTAGCACCACAAAAACCACTCTTAATCTCTCCAACATCTGACAGCAGTGTATACAACAGTAATACAAGTATACCTCTGCAGTGTAGTTACTGGAAAACAAAACATCTACTGCTGTGTAAGCAAAATGGCCAAGTCATAGCCAGAAGGTTCTTTATGGACTTCCTTCCAATCGACCCAGACTACACAGAGTGATCAGCATAATTTCCTGAAGAGATCAGTTGAAATACAGCATTCTAATAAGAGTGCCAACATTGCATTAACAATGTCTCTAAATTGTATTAAGTTTGGTCCCACCAAATTTTGAGTCTCAAGAAGCATAAAAAAATAAGTTGCATAGAAAATTGATTCACAACTCTGCTGGCGAACGCAAGTCAGGGCAGAAAAACTACAAATGAGAAGGATTAACCTCACAATACATTGTCTCAACTTGAAGTCTGCAACGTTTTTCTCACTGCAAGGTCAACATAACTTCTAAAGCCTCAAGACTTCCAGTACTTATCAGTACTGCAGCAAGCCACTCCAGAGGCTTCATAATTGCTTCCAAGCACTATTGCAGAAGTAGCTGAAACTGTAAAAATCAAGAAATATACAAAAAAACAAACCCACCCCAAACAAATTAAAATAAACGCAGTGGGTATATTTTAGAGGCAACAGTTCCTTCCCCAAAGGACATTACAGGTGATGACAGGTCACTGAGTTCTCTTTATGAGCAAAAGCCATCACTCTAATCTATGCTTTGCCATTTGTCTTCCACCGATCTTGGGTAGGTATCAGGTAGAAATAGTATATCATTGTTCAGTATCCAACAATACACTAATAATATCACTTAGAAGAGACAATCTCTTTTTAAAAATGTATGAGAAGCAAGGTTTTGGAAGGATTCCTTTTGCAACAGTTTTAAGACTGAAGTGACTCTTTTCTAGGGGTAAAAACTCTCTTTAGAAAGTTAAACCAAAGTATCCTTCAAACCTTCTATCAAAAAGCATAACTTCATTTTTCAAAGCTGTATGAGGTTGCAAGCTTCTTGTCTCATCAGGCGAAGTAACATCAGATGAAAGGACTCTGCCTCTTTGATTTGATAAAGAAATTCATGTCAACCTCTTGGACAAGGGAAACAGCCTAAACAACTATTGATTTGTCATTGCTTGGCTAAATTTGTCTCACACAACACTCACATGTGAAAAAAAAAAAGTCCTCCTCACAAGCTACACATAGAGGTTATAATGCATGAACTGAGACACCAATAGTTATTTACATTACGGTTGTGCTCCTTTTCTTTTGCTGGCTCTTAACTAACAAACATGGTATACAGTCCTAGTCTTAGCTTCCTACCCACTCCCTCTTGTTCACCCTGACCTTGCTGTGGGCTCTATCCAGTGAGGTCTGGAAATGCTCACATTTGGAGACTACACAGCCTCTCCAAGCAACCAGTCCCAACAGTTAACTCTTCTTCAATCTTTATATTCAAGATTAAGTGTGTTTACCGAGTTTTTAGGTTGTATTTACCATTTCAAGAGATCGCACAAGTGATGTTTCTGGCTGCTGACGGGCAGGTGCAGGAACAGAGTCAGCACGTCTTGAAGGCTGATGTGCAACTGTCTGAGCGCTGGCCACAGTTTCAGAGGATCCTGACCCATGGATTTGATTTGACTCATTCAGTCTGCTACTCCTCTCTCCAGCAATTAAGTCTCTGATTCTACGTAGCTGCTCAATTGAAGCTTCCTTAGGGAAAACCAGGTGAGTTTCTCCCTGAAATTTGCACACATTAATTCAGCAGTTAATGCAGGTCTAAGCTAGTCAGCAGTTTGCATCTACAGCTAATAGCTGTAACATTTACTGGAAGTTAGCACACTAAGGCTTGGCAGGATTCACCCTCTAGTTAGGTCTCTTCAAGCAGAAGCTATTAGCTCAGGAACTTTCAGTCAGTCTACAGAAAAAGGGCTCATAACAACATGCTTCTGTTAGTAACTTATTTTACAGAACCACACATGAACAATGCAACTACAGTTTGGCAGAGAAAGCAGCAGCAACAAAAATTAACAGCAAATGTTCAGTTCTCAGTACAGCAGTGAAATGCTAGGCAACACAGGAAGACAGCCAGTGTTGGGGAAGAAGCCTCTAGAATGGCATCTGCTGGAAATTCTCTTCTATGCTGCTATCTTTTAGGTTTTGTAAGTTTTCAGATACAAAATATTCTTACTGAGACCTGTACCTAGCTTGATTTCTGGGTTACCATTTCTTCACTGTAACATGATTACTGGTAGTATAACAAAAGATTAGTAATCATGACAGAAGCAAATATCAGTGTACATAATATGAAGAAATAGGTTACTAGAAACATAAATATCCCAGAGTATTCATATTTTCAGAGTTTCAGTTTTCTACCACTGCAGCACTTCTATTTACTAAACTGAGTAATTTGTTTATCCATGGTTACATTAGATCACCTATCACTGTAGACACGGTGCTTTGTTTTTAACAATTACAATCACCACAAAACCAAATGCAGTGTATCAACTGCATGAGTCCTTATTTTTTAATTAAAAAGTGAGCTTATTAAGCAGAGACAAAAGAAGAAACAATTTTAGTTATTGCAGTTGAAGAGAAGTTTGTGAGCTCCCGCCTCAAGTGACACAGTAACGTTAACACTGAGCCAACATGCTCTTAAACATCTGACAGAAGCGGGAGAAGCATTTTCTAACATGTTTAAAATGACCAATTTATTACTGCTTGAGTGCTTCACTAGCTACACTGAGTACCTCTTGCCTAAAACACATTGTTAAAAGTAATCTCCTGAGCACCAACATGAGAATAAAGCCACAGATAATTTCTCCTTCTGCAGTCACCATTTCTTTTAGCATACTTTTCTTTTTTTTCAATTAAGACAACAATGTTAATTGACTTTACCTGAAGAGAAGGCAGAGGTCTCCTGACAGCTGGACTTAAGTAGCATAATGTATGTACCCACACAGAAGAGTGGCATCATGCAAACAAAAGTGAAGCAAGAGCTTTGCACCATTAAACAAAAGCTGAGTTTTCACCCTAGCTCTCCTGTAATTAAAAAGGCTGCTTCAAGCTTAACAAGCTTTGGCAGTTTAAGTTGCACCAAGACAAGGACCACTTCAGGACACAAGGCAATTTTAAAAATACATCTTTTTGACTGCAACAGAATCAAGAATCACTCAAGACTACTTCAGGATACAGTTTCATAAGTGTTTTAAATGGGTAAAAGTCCCATTCTCCTACTACTTCAATAGTCTGTTGCCCTCCACTGCTGTCATGACAACACTGGTTGCACGTTGGCCAAAACATGCTTCTTTTCTTTTGGGAGATTAATTTAATAAGATCAGCTCCCCTTATTTAACTGACTATGGGGCCACACAAGCCCTACTGATGGCAAGAACAAGCAGGAGAGAACCAGGACTTCTTATTTCCTTCCAAATGACTATTTCAATGCACAGTTTTACAATCACATAGATTCATAGAATGTTAGGTTGGAAAGGACCTGAAGGATCATCTCGTCCAACCTTTCTAGCTAGGAACATGGCTTAGATTAGATGGTCCAGCACCTTGTCCACCTTAGTCTTACACTTCCCTGGGGAGAGTATTCCAATGTCTGACTGTTCTCATAGTGAAATTTTTTCTTCTGACGTCCAACTGGAATCACCCCAGGAGTAACTTGCACCTTGTCTTTTCCATGTGACTCTTTGTCAAAAAGGGAGTCTCCATCCTCTTGGCAGCCACTCATTAAGTACTGGAACATTTCAGTAAGGTCTCCTCTAAACTTCCTTTTCTCCAGGCTTCGCAAACCCAGTTCTCTCAGCCTTCCCCTCTACAGCAGGCTTCCCAGTCCTTTGATCATCTTTGTGGCCCTTCTCTGGACTCTCTCCAGCCCATCCAGATCTTTTTTGTATAGTAGGGACCAGAACTGAACACACTATCCCAAGTATGGCCTGGGAAGCAGTGAGTAGAGGGAGAGATGACTTCTTTATCTCTGCTGCTCAGGCTCTTGCTGATGCAACCCAGCACCCCCATTGGTTTGCTTTGTTGCTGCTGCTGCACACTGTTCACTCATACTGAGCTTGCTGTCCATCAGGACCCCCCCGGTTCACTTTTATAGAGCTGCTCCCTACACAGGTGGATCCCAGTTTGTGCTGCACTCCTGGATTACGTTTTCCCAGGTGCAAAACCTTATAGCTGTCTTTGTTGAACTCCATAAGGTTCTTGTTAACCCACTCTTCCAGCCTGTCTAGGCCTTCTTGGAGGGTGGCTCTCCCTTCTGGTGATCATAATGCATCAGTTTTTCTAAAAGGAGGCTGTGGGGGACTGTACTGAAAGTATCAGAGAAGCCCAGGTAGACAACGTCCACCACTTGCCTTGCATCAACCAAGCCGGTTACTTTGCTGTAGAGGAGAACTGGGTTTGTCAGGTAAGCTCTGCCCCTGGTCAATCTGTGCAGGCTTTTCCCAATCACATGCTGCGTTGACTCATGACAGTGCCCAGGAGGATTAACCCCATGACTCTCCCAGGGACTGAATTAAGGCTGAGGGGCTATAATTACCTGGGTCCTCCTTTGAACCCTTCTTTTAGATGGGGGTGACATCAGCCTTCTTTCAGTCATCTGGGACTTCTCCCAGACTCCACAACTTCTCAAAGAATATGGAAACTACTGCCTGATGATGCACCCTGATGTTCACCCAACAGTGAGATGTCACTGCAAGAAGGGGTTTTCACCTTGTTTCCTACCATCTCCTTTGTGCCAGCATGAATATGCATGTATCTTGCCTTAAAGCAAATGAGTAGTGTGCCTGCACAGCAGAAGAGCAACCTTATCACAGATCAGCTTAGCTCTAGCTCCACCAGATTTCTGAAGTAGACTCATGGATATTTTCTGTTGGTGATATTTGCAAACAAGCATTGGAAGAAAATCAAGAAAATAGCAGTTGGCTTAAAATCTAGTGCCTTGCAACTGGGAAAGGAGAAAAAAATAATCAGAATTTCAAGTTTAGTGTGTAAACTGATGAAGACATCAGGAATTACTAAATTATACTCACCTCTTGAAACCCCATCTCAAACAAACATTCAACTGCTCCTCTGACAGGCAACAACCTTGTGGAAAATGCTGGATTTCCAATCCGAATTAATCTATATTTTTCTTCATAAGGATTCCTGAAGAAATTGAAAACTTTAATTATGTGTGCAAATTAAGTAAACTCTTGAAAACTAGGTAACTGTACTAAGCAGCAGTAGTCATTCATAAGGATTACTTTTTTTTTTTTAAGTTTTGTTTCCTTCACATCATGCAGACAGAATGTCAAACCTTTCTGAAACTTCGACTGAATTCATGTCCTTTTGCATTTAGCCTGGGGGGTAACAAAACTGGTTCTAAATTTCAGTTTGCAACCGAAGTTGATAATTACGTGTTTTGTAGCCCCAGCCAGCAGGGGCTTAACCTGCAGTGACACTTGAAGATAACTGGAAACCCACCTCCAGCGTTCCACCTGAACTCTGCAGCTTGATGCCAGTGATTTTAAGCCCACTACAGATGCTTTGCTAAACTTCCTGGTCCATAGGTTAAACTATGGTGGTCACTTTACTTCTTGAAGGGCCAGCCCTCAGCTTCCCTCTTCTTCTTTCAACTTTTCTAAACCTTCTTCTCTCGCCTCTTTCTTTAAAAGCAGTCAGCCCAGGAGCCTCTGCTTCCTGTCACACAACACAGGCTCTGTGAGTAGCTGACGAACCAGACATACAGAGGGAGGGGCAGCTCATGCATCTTGAGTTGCTTGAAGACATCCAGGTCAACCATATGTGCTGGTGTGTATACACAACCTTCACAGCCACCTTATAAAAATTCAACTATGATTTAATTCTTTGTAACATAATCTCACTGACTCTGGAGAGGCAACAGAAAAATCGAGTTGATATTTTAGCATAACTCGTGATGCATCCACTAATATTTAGGTGCTTAAATGCTTGAAGGATCTGGGCTAACGCAGGTTTTTATGTTTAAGGCACGAAATAAGCCCTCAAAACAAACCAACCAGCAATAAATAAGGAAATAAAAATTCAAGCCACTACCGGCTAACGTGAAAAATAACCTTATGTTTAAATAATGTAAAAAAAAAAAAAGAAGAAGTGAGATGCTTTTGAACTTGGCTAATTACATAACAAAACGGAACCATCCGGACACATTGCTGCGTGTGAACGGTTTCCCGGCAGGTCCCTTCTGGAGCGGTTAGTGACCCGACGGGACACACTCCGGTTTGGGAAGGCCGAGCCGCAGCGCCCGCCCTGCCCG